ATTCATAACAACCTAATGTCTACGCCTTTTTTGGCGTTTAATAGTAGGCCAGGCGATAACGAGGCGTCTTTTATTAAAAATGTCAGTCATCTTCAGCATGTATTTGAATGTCTGCTTTTTAGCCACACCTGATGTTTATGGGTCGTCAAACACAGTGTACACTCTACTGTATTGGGTTGGTTATTAACTTGAATGCAGATGTAAACTTTATTTATATATCAAGTTTGATATGACATATCAAATATGGAAGGTCTATTTGCTTCTTCTTTTTTATTTGTAATAGTTCAATAAAAGAAATGTACCTAGCTAACCGAGAGTACAGTGCATTAGCCACCTTGTTGTGCGCTTCGAAGCTATTCACATGTAAACAAAGCCTACGCTATATTTCTTGGATCATATTTGTCGGGGCACGGGTTTTACCTACACCACCGCGCAGCACCCCCAGTGGCGTGGTATATGAAAGCCTTGAGTGTAGATTAACCACTCTCCATAATAGTGAGGTAGAATACACTTTATCTTCAGCCCAGGTTTCAGGGACATAGGGAGACGCTCTCGGGAGCCCCCGGTTACACTACCGCAGGGGGCTGCGTACTGCCCCTGGCTCGGTTTAATCATTGAATGTCGTGTGCAACGGTTTCAATTATGTAGGGTACTCTTTTAAACGAAAGTAGATGGCATAGTGCTCACGGGTGATCCAGGGTCGGCAAATTACTGATTTAACTGTTTTCTATCTTGATTGTGTAACTGTAAAACATATACTCTTAAGAAACAGTTAGCGGCAAAAAAAAAAAAACGCCTTCCAGACTTTCTTAAATGGAAGGGTAAAAATTTCCCTTTGAAACCTTGCGATCTACGGGGCAAGTAAAGTAGAGTTCACTTGTTTCTGTGACCTCGGCATATGAAGGAACGATGAAGAGATAGTGAGGTCAGCACTATGCCCAGCAGCCGTTACTTTGCCTAACAGGAGTTAGGTACCCATCAGAGTTGGGTGGACTCAGGCACGGTCTACTGACTTGAACTGGGATTCGAACTCGAGACTTACGGGTTAGCAGTCCAGCTCTCTACCGCTAGACCACTCATCCCTCACCAATTGAACGCCTAATAAAATGTGTATAAAAGTGAGGGATATTATTAGTACTTTATAAATTTACATGCGTTTTTTGAGAAATCGGAAATAGCGTAAATTAGTACTTCCGGTCAAAGGAAGTTACTCAAAATTTGACAGAAGGTAGAGAATTAGACCTTTCACTTACGGATTATACGCGAAAAAAAATCACAAAATTTCTTGTTTTTTGTCATGATGGGTTTCTTGCACTTTCGGATACGTTGTCCATTTTTGTATATAGAAAATAATAACTTTAAAGAAAAAAAAAATTATGTGCTTGAATTACGATTTTTATGACCCTATTAATAAAAAAATAATCAAGTTTGCCCAATCTTACAAGCTCTCTATGAAAAGTTTTATATCCGACATTATATTGTATTTGACATCATTGGAAAGCTGGATTTCTCATGTATTTAATAAACTTAATTTCCTACATCTCGGAAACACCCAAAGCTTACAATCAGCTTTGCAGTTTACACAGATATGGTACTTTCCTGACCTAGTTTGCGTTACTTTTGGCTGTTTTTCTCAGTTCGCAGGTTTTTAACACTAAAAAGCCTACTACTTTTTTATTTATTAAACAATGCCAACCATATTTTCAGTAAACGTTCTTGATGCAAAAATACAACTTTTGTCACGAAGGAATTTTGATTGCTTTCATAGAAAAAAAGGATTTGGTAATTAATATGCACATTTTGAAACTTTTGAATACTAAAAAAGGGTACGATTTTTTAGACCTTGTACAATTCTTACTAGTAACTATTTCAAAAAGTTGTCGTGACAAAAGTTTTAATATAAACTGAAATATAAGCAGTTTAAATTTGATTGCTATAGATGCATAAATAAAAAAGCCTTAGCATTTTTAAAAGTACCGTAAAATTCAAAATGGCGGAGGTTTTTTGGTTTCCATGACAACCAAAATTGTTTTCGACCTTTTTTTTTGCTGTTAAATACTTACTTTTATATGCCAATTATGCTTAAAGTATTCAAAAGGCTTTAGATCTTAAACTGTAAAAAATAGAAAAAAAACAGCATATCCCCTTACGTGTGAAATTTCATGCATCTATCTAAAATAGTACGCAACTTATAGGCTTTTGAAAAATTCAAAGTAGAAAAAGTACCACTTCCTGTTATCGGAAATCGCTCAAAAGTTGATCAGGATCTACGATTTTGATAAAATACTTATATATGAAATTTCATCAACCTAGCTGTAACGGTACTCAAGTAATCGTGTTTACACACAGACAGACACACAGACACACAGACACACAGACATACGGACAGAATTGCAAAGTCCAGTTTTTACGACTCGATAACGCATAAAACGCCAAAACGTTTTTTTATTTGTATTTATAATCTTTGCCTGATTAAAATAAGTCCTCTATACTACGGATGTGATGAAGGACTGAGGAGAAAACGGTGAAAACTGTCAAAATTTCATGTTATTTTTGTGCACGATTACAATACTTTCTCTATACTTCGTATATACGAGAAAGTAAAAAGCACATTTTTATTTCATGTCAAAAAATGAAGGATTTTCGTCAACTCACTGGTGTCCATTCTCAGTCTAACGAAACGAACCTTCGCACGACCGTGACGTCACATGGAACGTTTAGGAAATTTTCAAAACAAAACGAAATATATTCAGTTCTAAAATCGGAAACGTACACTCATCAAAATGAAGTCATCGATTCTAGAGTAAACATAGAATTAAAAATCCAAAGCCGAAAAAGTTAATACACTAATGACGACATTGATCCTTGAAATTAAAGATTAAACATTCTCACAATTTATTTTTAAAATCTTAATCAACCCCGGAGAATTTAATCCGCTCTTCCTCAAAGTAAATATTCATGTCGTCCACCCCCTCCCCCAAGCAGGATAATGTCTACCGCCGGTTCCCAGAAAGAAGCGCAACGGAAAAAAGCGCAACGGAAAAAAGCGCAAAACAAAAAGCGCAACAGAAATAAGCGCTCACGGAAAAAAGCGCAAAGAGAAAAAAGCGCACACGGAAAAAAGCGCAAAGAGAAAAAAGCGCAAAGAGAAAAAAGCGCAAAAGGAAAAAAGCGCACACAGAAAAAAGCGCAAACAGAAAAAAGCGCAAACGGAAAAAAGCGCAAATAGAAAAATGCGCTTTTTTCTTTTTGCGCTTTTTTCTCTTTGCGCTTTTTCTCTTTGCGCTTTTTTCCGTGTGCGCTTTTTTCTCTTTGCGCTTTTTTCCGTGTGCGCTTATTTCCGTTGCGCTTTTTGTTTTGCGCTTTTTTCCGTTGCGCTTTTTTCCGTTGCGGTTCTTTCCCCCCAAACGAAATACAATTAGATAAAAAATATACACTTTTACCAGAGTCAGCACCCCTACCCACCCCCCCCCCACCCCCACCAAAGAAAAAAAGTTAAAAGAAACACTATCTACATAATTGAGGTTTAGCGGCCAAAA